CTTCTAAACGCCTTGAAATTGGCCTCTGTCTCTTTAAGAACCACCTTCTGCTTCTGTCCCGCCCATTTCAGCGGAGGGGGGGGGGATCGCACGTTACGCTATGATGCCGTTTACTTGGCATCTGAAAATACATTTCCTCAAAGGTATTTTGAATCTGAAAAGAGCTTCACTTAGTGAGAAGTAGTTAACAGCTCAGCAGACAGTTTAAGTTTCACTTTCAGTTTCACCCTGTTTACTTTGTTACTGCCGAGAGCCTGCAGGAGTCATGGGCAGGGTTTGTGGGGAGGGGAGGGGGGGGCGCTCTGCCATGAGGAAGTTAGGCTTAAAGACACGTCCATTCCTGGTACCAAAAGTGTTTCTGGTCCCCACCTGTCGTTTTGCTCCTCAGCATGGCTTCCTAAAAACACTGCAGGATTTCTCAAACATGCATGAATGAGTCAGAGCAAGGCTTTGGACATGTTTTTATGAGAGTATAACATTATAACATGATATAAAACTCAAAAAAAGTTGATTTTACATGGTACTGCCCCTTTAATAAAAAGATTTTGTTATAWAATCTGGAGGATTTACTCGGCGTCGAGGCTATCAACATAAACTGGCGATGCAGACCTCATATTATACGACGAGCCAGATGAAGGCTTTTAAAAGCCTCGAAGCTACATTTATTTTGTTTCAAGTTGGGTCAAACATTTAGGATCCAAAGAAGCTTTAAATGTCTGTCGACTTGTTTCTGACCGGGTGAGWAGTGACTTGTTTGGATTTGCCTGCTTATACAGTATAATGGTAAAATAATAAATTTTAAAAGAGTRGTCATTTGTGTTAGTTTCTTCTGCCTTATTCTCTTCAACCACTTTCTAATTTTTTAAAGATTGGATGAAAAATCACTAAAAAGTAGAGATGCTCTATGTTGACCTTTTGCCGATAATTGTCCTGGAACCAGAAGGTTACTGGTTTGATCCCCTGTTCCAGCTGTCTCAGTTGTTGTGTCCTTGGGCAAYACACTTCACCCCTAATGCCTCTGATGTGTGTCCCATCAGTGTATGAATGTGATTGGCACTGATTAGTCTCCATAGATGATTGTACATGTTAGTTTTGTAGAGACCTAATAGAGTGCTGTGTGAATGGATAAATGAGGACACAGATTGTAGTGTGACGAGCTTTGAGTGTCCTGGTTGGGTAGAAAGGCACTATATAAGTACGTGTACAGTCCATTTAACTGAAGTTAGGGGAAAAGTGCCATATTTATTTTTAACATTTTGTCTCAAARGATAGTTTGGATCATGCTCTCCCTGAGATAATCCAGTTTGATGATGTCATCACTTGTGCACCGGTGAACGTCTCTGGACCACAAACATTTATTTACACAGTTTGGTCAAATCCAGGCTTTAATTTATGGGGTTTTTGTTGTCAGAAGAAAAACCGATACCGATATGTAGAGATTTTACATTTTTATGCTGATATCGGACCAATTATATCTGTAGGCTGATATCATTGGACATCCCTACTAAAAGGTTAATTATTTGATTAAAAAACACTGGAAAATACAGTAAAAGATCATTAAAGTTGATTCTCTGTTCTTTCTACATCGAAATCAAAGATTACCAAAAAAATRAAACTTGATTTTTTTTTTTTTTGGTTTTAAAGTTGGCCAGCTGTCAAATACAAACACTATTTCACATTTATAGAGTTAGCTTTGGGACCAGATAAAATGTTAACAAGGACCAGATTTGGCCCGCGGCCTTATGTTTGACGTGTGTGTGTTTAGTGCTTTCCTTTTTTTTTTGCTATCAGTCATTCTCAAAAAAAAAAAAAAATTAATGGACCCTCTGCAATGACAATGTGAGATCACCAAGACCCCAGTCTGTCACCACTCTGAAGGAGCTACAGATTTCAGCAGGTGAACTGAAGACGGTTTTCTGAAAATTTTTTTTCTTTTGCCGGGGGTGGGGGGGGGGGGGTGGTGTCAGAAAGACCACTGATTTACAGGTGAACCCATTTATAGACCGTTAGTCATGACGTTCCTGCTGTGAAAAGACGGAACAATAAACCCACTAGCATCCTAATACTGTATAAAAGCAGCAGTGAATCATAAAGGAACAGCAGATGTCATTATTAGGGGACTACTCACCCCCCAGAGGTAGAATTCTCTCTTGAATATCTTGTTGTTCTCAAACTGAATTTGACACGAGAGCTGAGGAAGAGAAAGACAAACCATGATCAGGTTTTAAGGACCAGGATTGGACCCTCCAGCAGTACATTATCTTTCTAGAGCAGTGGTTCCCAAACTTTTCAGCTTTTGACCCACAAAATCTCAGCAGCAGAGACCTGTGCCCCCAGATGTTGTTGGTTGATACACATAGTTTTCAGGTCAAATAAACAAGACCATAGTAACATTATTTATGACACTATTTTTGTCCATTTTAGGTACATTAATCTTATTATTTTGTAAAAACAAAGGAAAATAATGTTCTTAGTTGTCATTTTTTGTGTAATTAATTCAAAAAATATTTTCAGGACCCCACCTTGATGTTTCAGGACCCCACTGTGGGTCCTGACCCCAACTTTGGGAACCACTATTCTAGAGTAATTCTTTCAGATATATGTCTGAGTCAGATCACTCACCACCGTCCGGTTTGCTTCTATGCTGCAGGAATCAGGGATTGAATTCTTGGCGTAAATCGTCACAACAACACAACTTCCTGTTTGGTGCCAGTCGTATCGACATGCCACTTTCTTCTTGTCCTGTAAACGTGCAAAAACCAGTTTGTTACTCATCTATCACACTTTTCTCCTTCCACCGTGCTCTTCACTCCGTCCTGATATGAACAGCCCACAATAAACCCAGCAGACATTTTGATATTTGACCCAAGGTCTTTTTGACCCGTCATGCACTTCACCCTCCAGGTGCTGCACGGTACCTGCTTGGCCACCCAAGAGTGTTTTCCTGTGGTGCAGCCCTTCTGGTCCAGGAACGCGTTGAAGTCTGTGGTCTTGATGCAGCAGCAGCTCCAGTATTTATATCTAAACAAAGACACAAGCTCAGCTGTCAGATCAGTCAGAGTCTGCTGATGAGCTTAAACTACTCATCTGATTCTACTTAGTAAAAGTTTCAGCTGTTTCACTTTGTTCTCTTCCTTCAAACAGTCAGAGTGTCAGCATTCACATTCCTTATTCCAGTTACAGTAAGTAGTAGTATTATATATATACAGTATATATATATATATATAC